AAACATAATGACATTCGGAGAAGTAGGCGATACTTATACAATCCGTTCTTTCTCAGACACACGTTGATATTACGGTAATAGAACAAGGTCTGTAGCCTATCTTTCTTATCTCTTCAATATTTTCTATAGATGAATTTTACGTACTGTTTATTGAAAAATCTTTATATAATGTAAACAAAAAAAAAAAAAAAAAAAAAAAAAAAAATCGTTTTTTTATACTTGTTTTACATTGTTCTTTTACAGGTTAGCGGTTTAGGCAGAATTCACCCTTAGTGTCGTGCTTCCCATTTTTCTCTCTGGGCATGCCGCTAACCAGCTGCCTTTTTGTATTTCCTGTTTGTGTTTTATTTCCTGTATAACATGCCGAATTTATAATAAATAAATAAATAAATAAAAAGGGCCTGGGATGGCCGGACCCGAAGTACGACTCCAATGCAAGTAGAGGGGGAGAGCGCGATTATTGCGGACCCTATTGACGTTCGAAATATTGACAATCGGCTGGGATGGAACACGGTCGTCGTGACTAGACCTTCCACACACTCACTCCATGACGTTTGTGTTGAAAAATTCCCGGTACCCAATTTAAGATACAGGGTTTGTCTTGAGCATTTTAATGAACGGAACAATGCACTAAAGATCCATCAATCACACAATGCGTAATACTGACTACACTTAACGGCTTTGTTTTTTCTCGAGGGATAAAATAAAATTTTTTGAAAAATCTTTATATAATGTAAAAAAAAAAAAAAAAAAAAAAAAAAAAAAAAATCGTTTTTTTATACTTGTTTTACATTGTTCTTTTACAGGTTAGCGGTTTAGGCAGAATTCACCCTTAGTGTCGGGCTTCCCATTTTTCTCTCTGGGCATGCCGCTAACCAGCTGCCTTTTTGTATTTCCTGTTTGTGTTTTATTTCCTGTATAACATGCCGAATTTATAATAAATAAATAAATAAATAAAAAGGGCCTGGGATGGCCGGACCCGAAGTACGACTCCAATGCAAGTAGAGGGGGAGAGCGCGATTATTGCGGACCCTATTGACGTTCGAAATATTGACAATCGGCTGGGATGGAACACGGTCGTCGTGACTAGACCTTCCACACACTCACTCCATGACGTTTGTGTTGAAAAATTCCCGGTACCCAATTTAAGATACAGGGTTTGTCTTGAGCATTTTAATGAACGGAACAATGCACTAAAGATCCATCAATCACACAATGCGTAATACTGACTACACTTAACGGCTTTGTTTTTTCTCGAGGGATAAAATAAAATAAAACAATTTACTCATGTATTAGATAAGTAATCATGAAGCTTTGGCTTTTGAGTGGGGGTTCGCAGAAAGAGTATGTTTTGTACATTCTTGAAAATTTGGATTACCCCCACTCCCCCTCCCCCCACATGATCACTACTTGGGCTTATTTCCAACTATCTCACATTGACTTGTTTAAGGATTGTCGCAAAGGAAGAGGTGAAATGCTGTTGTCGATCAAAGTGTATCTTCTGAGGCGGTATGGCACGATCAACAAACCTTCTCCATGATTTTATCATTTACCTATTCCCTTGTTAATTCGCACCATGTCAAGAAATATGAAGTTTACATGTGGAATGTTTAAAGTTTGTTTTTTGTTTGAACACTACTGTATTTAACAATATGTAAGATAAAAGGCCTAATCATAAAAGAGTAGTGTAATTTTGTTCTGAATTGTTACGTAAAAACGAACTTTGATTTCTGTTTGTAACATGGTTGTATTTGCTCAATACAGCCAATTTCCTTTTATTTTATGAAATTGATAAAATAAGTTATGGTTAATTAAGTATAGGCGTTGCACCTGTATGTCTGTCTAATAGCAAGATTAATTGAAAACTAATGGAATATGGGTCATCATAAAATGTAGTGGAATGGTACATAATAATATAAAAAATGTCAAAAGAACGAAGTCAAGGTACGGTAACGGAAATTCGATTTTTTTTTTTATCCTTGAACATAAAATAAAATAATGGAATTATTATTATTATTATTATTATTATTATTATTATTATTATTATTATTATTATTATTAT